GAGGTCTGGACTTTCGAAACGCACTATAGTAACCTAGCTGCACTGTAGACCTGACTGATTGCAGTTCACCAGTTTGCGTAGTGGGGATTTCAGTGAGCGCAACTGTACTAGTAACCTAGCTGCATGTAAATCAACCAGTATGCGTAGTGACGTAGTGATGTAGTGGCAGCGGTGGTGCGTTACCTGTTGCAGTTCGTTGAGCTGCAGCTCCGGTGGTCGTAGGATAGACGTGTTCACACCGCTGGGTCTGGGCAGATCGCGCTGGACGGCCTGCGACCATAACCGACGCTCTGCCTCCTCTGCAGTGTGTATATGGACACAGACAGACAGACACACACACAGACCGACCCACACGCACAGGAACAAGCAAGGACGTCAACCAGGGGAAAGCGTCAGAGTGTCCACTCAAAAGGGCATAAATTACACTACAGCGCGCGCGCGCGCGCGTGTGTGTGTGTGTGTGTGTGTGTGTGTGTGTGAGAGAGAGAGAGAGAGAGAGAGAGAGAGAGAGAGAGAAAGAGAGAGAGAGAGGGGGAAAGAAAGAGAGGACAGGACAAGAGCCACTGCCAGCAGAAAAGCAGCCACTGCAGTTCCCTACCTTCAGCCCTGCGTTTAGCCAACGCCCGCTCATCCACTTCGGCAGCGTCTTCCACATAATCCTCTGGTAATCTTTTATCACCAACCTCCTCCGGCACCTGCACACAACGCAGCATGGCAGCAAGCAATCTAAATCCACAATTGCCTGATATGGAATAATTACACAGACCATCAAATATTCCCTTCATAGTCTCTTTACTACAATTTGTAAAAAATAAAAATGTTTCGGCGCCCGATCCTTATAGACCCCCCCCCACCCGTCAAAATATTGATTCGTTTTTTCTTCGCAAGTGCAGTACAGAGACATTGGGAGATAAAAAATTAAAAAATCCAAATAAAGCAGCTATGGCCTAGGCAAGGAATGCAGCATGTCCTTGTCGGTCTGTTTTGTCTTTCTAAGAGTGCACAAAACGCCACTGCAGCCAGTGCCACTTCATCCAATCATTCACGAACTTGCCTACGTAGGCCATAGCTGCTTTATTTGGATTCTTTTTCCTTGAAGAAATTGAATACAGTGGGCGAAAGCATCATGACAGGTTTGCTGAGCAACTGAAGACCCATGCTAGACAGACAATACGTGCAGACAGTTCCAGACCGTGCACTTCAGACACTTCAGCATGCAGGTAAGAGTCAGCCGTACGCACCAACAGCAGTGAACCAGGTAAAGTCCAACCACTCTAAGACGAACACCAAGGGACTGATGGTATTTGTTTGCAATACCCGTAACCGGGAGTTCTTCTTCTAATACCCAGTGAATACACAGCGACTTATCCAATAGTGTTATGAATGCTACAGTTGCGCTCGGTGAAATCCGACCCACAGTGCATATTTGGCGCCCTCAGCTTGCACAGCCCTGGACGGCCTAGTAGTAGTACGCATGCGGCTGGACATACACAGTACAAATACAGTGATGTAATCGGAACTGGTCCGGGGCGCCAGTTTTGCACTTCAGTGAGCGCAACTGGAGTTCAGCTAAAGTGAAAGTTTGTCTTATCAGTGTTCCTCTTAACGACGTTCACTGTATGTAGAACTACCTCCTCCAACTGTTGATGAAGAACTAGCAACCACATACCTGAGGCATGACGATCTCAAAGTCGTTGCTTGGCTTGGGAAGGCTGGCCAGACCGGCTCGAAGCTGTTCTCGGATCTCCGGCTGCACACAGACACACACATACACACAAACACAGATCCTGTTGGCAAAGACCTGGTCACCAAAGTGTGTGATATATGGAATTGCAGCGGAAAATCTCCCCCGCTCTCAGCTCTGTGTCTACGCTTCATACCAGAAGCCAATATCCAGTCTTTATGCCACAAGAACTTCAGTGCAGCCTGTGCACTCAAGGTAATCACAACACATCAACAACAAAAAACTAGGCTGCAAAATCCAGCCAAAAAACCTAAATTCTAGCTGCAAGTCAGAAGCAGATCTCAGGCCAGCCAATACAGAATGAGTCGTAAGTGAGAGGTTGAGCTAGGATAGCTTATGGTGTCTCACCTGCTTGACACTGTCCTGTAGTGAAGCTTGCGGTGTCTCGCCAGCCTGGAACACAAACACACAAACACGAAGTAACATCAATGTAGCTACATGTAGCAGAGGTTATGCAGAGAAACAACCGTGTATGTCAACATCACCGGATACCAGCCGAAACAGACAGTCACAAAGAGAGAGAGAGAGAGAGAGAGAGAGAGAGAGAGAGAGAGAGAGAGAGAGAGAGAGAGAGAGAGAGAGAGAGAGAGAGAGAGAGAGAGAGAGAGAGAGAGAGAGAGAGAGAGAGAGAGATGGACAAGGCAGGTCCACGAGAGAATGGCTTGTACATGTACAGCAAACCAGCCTACACAGTCACACGACTTGAAAGTCTGCAAGCAGACTGGCTCTCACCTGTCTAATGGAGTCTTGAACAGAACCGACCTGCGGTGTACCTAAATGTGCCATGTACCCAGTCTACACAACACAGAAACACGCACACAGCAACAAACCAACCAACACACACACACACACGCACAGCACTGAGTTGGTTCTGCCACGACTACTACGGATGAAAGCTCGTGACACGTACATACAGAGATACTAGGAAGACACTGCATGGATGAGAGAGAGAGGAATTAGACTATTTCTGAGAAATGATCACGCACAACTGAAGACCTGTAGCGACCTCTTCATTGCAGGTTCGTCGTTTTTCTAAATGGGCCACTAGACCACTAACCTGCCGGATGCTGTCTTGGAGCGAGACCTGCGGTGTTTTCAGCTGTGTGAGCGTACTCGGCGTGACCGAGTAGTCGGCGAGTAAAGCTTGCGACGATGCATCGCCATCCTCGGTCAGAGCGCGTGCATTCTCACTGGCAAACCCTAGCTTGACAACCTGGTGATGAAGTGAGGTGTAAGGAGGTGAATGAGGCACAACAGATGGGCAGACAGAGACAAGAAGGGAGGGAGGGAGGGGGAGAGAGAGAGAGAGAGAGAGAGAGGGAGAGAGAGGGAGAGAGAGAGAGAGAGAGAGAGAGAGAGAGAGAGAGAGAGAGAGAGAGAGAGAGCGATAGATAGAGAGAGACATACCGGTACATACACACAGACACGCACAGACATACACACACACACACACACACACACACACACACACACACACACACACACACACACACACACACACATACACAAACACACAGAGCATTAGCTACCTATTTCACTCGCAAGACAATCAAAAATTCACACATTCAAATACAGAACTACTCCAGAACATTCATTACGGCCTATACTGCAGTCAGCCTATTGTTTCTCCACCAAACAAACTGTCTCTACATCTCGGTCTCCTCGACATTGCATGAACGTGCATGTTCATCTCATGCACCGATACGCAAACACACGCCCTTGCGTGGCTCACCTCGGACAGCTCTTGATCAGAGATCTGCGGTGTGGGCAGCACCAGCTTGCTGCGCTTCTTGACGGGCTCCGGGTTGTGCATCTTGTTGAGCTGCATGACGTGGCTGAGCGCGTCAGACTCTTTCTTCTTCTTCTCGCGCTCCTTGTCCTTCTGACGATCACGCTGTACACACCAACGTAAGCCACAAAACGCCAGGACAAATTACTTCCCCGGTTTTGCAAAACAGATGAGAAAGCACAAAGCTCTAGATACAAGACCCGCGGGCAAACAACGCATGCAATATTGCTGCGGTGGACAGTACACACACAGACAATACAAGTTACTGTATAGCAGGAAATTTTCGGACGGAAATATTTTCGGACAAAGCCAAATTTCGACCTTTCGTACGGATCATATTTTCGTACAGTGCTGCATGTTAAATACACGTGTTCGCAAGGAGTTCAGTATGCATGTATAGTGTACATAATTTCACATGAATACATTTTAGTACAAAAGAGGCCGTGTACGAAATCGTACGAAAATAAATTCCGTCCGAAAATTTCCTGCCATACAGTACTTTACACACCATAACCGAAAAGGCCAGGACAAATTACTTCCCCCGGTTTTGCAACCAGATGGAATAATGCACAGGGGGCAAACAACGCATGCAGTATCGTTGCCGTGTACACACACGCACACAGACAATGCAAGGCACGCCCAACCGACCTGTTCTTCCTCGTCGCGCCGATTCTCGTCCAGGTGATGCTGCCGCAGACGCTTGAAGTCGGGCTCAACCGCGTCAAAGTGCTCTGTGCTGGTGTCGTGGAAGCCTTCGACTGGCTCCTTGCGGAACGGAATCTCGGCGTTGTAGTCCACGCCACGCTTCTTCTTCTTCTGGAACTTGCGAGCGGCGATGCCTGCTGCCCGCAGCTCACGACGCTTCTGCAATGTTGCCAATCGTCTGTGGAATAACAATTAAAAAATAGCAGATGAGGGCCATTACATACGCTGTGTGTGTATGATACAATAACAGACAAACGGGCACAGAGAGTGACACCCATCCACACACAAGTACGGACGGACGGACAAACGCAGACCCCCCCCCCCCACACACACAAACACAGACGACACGACGCGTCTGCAGTGTTGCCAGTCGTCTGGGGAATTACAATAATCAGCAGATGAGGGCCCGGTAGATATGGTGTGTGTATATGTGTGTGTATGATTGCACGCACAGGTGCACACGCCGTCTCAGAACTACAACAGCAGGCAAACAGACACCGAGAGTGACGCACACACACACACACACATGCACACACACACAAGCACAGATGGACAGACAAAAACAGACCCCCACCACCATGTATATGCCCGTCACAGAAGAAGCACGCAAATCTGCAAATGCACTGGATGTGCAACCCCCTCCCCCCCCCCCCCCCCCCCCACACACACACACAACCATTACCGTGCTTCCTCCAGCTGCTTTTCGCGAGCCTTGCGCTTAGCTTTCTTTCCCTGTGTGTTGGCAAGACGGGCACGGGCTTCAGACAACATCTCTAATTCTAAACACAAGAAGACAACAATAACAACAACAACAACCCATAGCGAGAATACAGATTTTCAAGCAACAGCAGAAGCAACAGCAACAACAGCAACATCGATCTACCCTCTCTGTGTTGGAAAGCTCTCGCCATTGTGCCGATTAGCACCAGGTGAATAGAAAAGGAACTAAACTGCGTACATCACACTTGCAGTCAGAGAGTACCATAGCACTGTGTGAAGTTCTGTGAACAGAGAAGGAACCCAACTCCACACATCACCAGGGGTGTCGTAAGGTATTGTACATTGGTGCGGCTATGAAAAGCCAGTGTGTTCGCGGGCCCTCCTGTGGGATTTTTTTGGAAAATCAGGCCCAAATCGCCCATATTCCATTGGATCACAAGATAAAAACAAAAAGTATTAGTGCATCTTTGGCCGCACATGCCACATTGGTTCCGACGCACTTGATCACAACTTGCAGTCAAAGAGAAGCGGAGCTCTCTTTCGCAGGAATGTAGCGAACTCTTACCGTCTTCGTCCATGTCGATCGGGTCGGGTCTGGCTGGCTTCGTCTCCGGGTGGGGATCGATTTCACCCGGGCGCAGTCGCCGGGAGTCTTCGATGTCGCCATCGCCTTCTTTCTGCTGTGCCCGATCTCTGCAAGGACAGCACATATATACACACAATATCATCACTAGAAAGTATGTTGGGAACATGAAAGTCATGGATGACTGGTGATCACTTTCAAGTCCCATAAGGCCCTCTTCAGACTATCCACATAGAACATCCAGTACAAAATCACATAAAACCTAAAACCTAAAAGGCAACATTTTCCAAAGCCTGCATTCAGACTATATTTTACATGCAATATACAGGTAACCTTTGACCCTGCGCAATTGCACAAGGGGATGCTTGAAAGCAGGGAGTCGTACAGAGTCTGTACACTTGTACGACTGCCTGGTGAAAGTACGATAAATGCAGGAAAGTTGCCTTGTGCAGAGGTTCGCACCCTGCCTGAAAGGATTGGGCGGCTTTTCAAGCTTCCCGCCAGATTCTTGTTGTCTTGGAAACTTCTATACAAATTATAGGCTGTTTTGCACATATTCTGAAGAGCGCCTAAGCACACAGAGTTCGGGGGAAACGGGGGATGGCCGTGGAGTCTGGATATTACTTGTGATCACTTTCAAGTCCTGACAACACGAAGTTCGGGGAAACACGCGATGATCGTGGACATCACGACTTACAGAAGCATTTCGTAGTGCTCCAGACACTGTGCGGCCGTTCGGCCAATGATGGGAGCGATGGTCCTCCATTGGCATGGCATTAACTTGGCCAGATGAAGCAGCTTCTCCTCCTCCTCACGACTCCATTCCGTCTACAAGCGCACAGCAAACACACACACACACAGCAAGCACACACACGGGCGGGCGGGCGTACGCACACACACACACACACACGCACAAAATGGAGAAATACGATGGGCTTCACAAGCTGGAATGCTTTACTCCGGCGAATTTGGTAGTGCTTAACGCAACCTCACAGCACACCAGTGTGATGAAATGTCACACAGACGTGAGAGTGAATTCACGCACACATGCAGACACAACAATAAGCATGCATTACAAATCTGAAAAGCAACATGACCATTGACAATTTGACGCCCATCGCCGGAGGCGATGATAGCGATGCTACAGCAGACGCCAAAGCAACTTGTGCTGGGATTGCACCATTCAACAGTTTGCAAGGCTGAAGAATTAACCGCCACTATTCAGCCCGGTCTACACCACATAGCTATGAAGTGACTTTTTCTGGCCAGTGAATCCCTACTTTTTGGTCATTTTTTCCGCACACACATCACACCAAAAGCAACATGGGCACACATACACACACGCACGCAGCAGCAGCAGCAAACCAGCAGAGCAACATACCTTCTTGATACTTGGATCTAGCCATTCATACCTGCACAACAATCACAGTGCCAACCACAGCATACATACATACATACATACATACATCAGCATAGAAGAATAAACATCGTGCCCAAAGCCAGCAACCATCCATGCGTTTGCAGTACACCGGTCACGCAAAGTCCAGAGAGAGGACACAATCAACCATCTTTCATAGACTCCAGCCTGGTGCCTATTACATTAAAGTCAATAATAGTCTTTAGTCCACGCGTGTTGCAAGAGGTCTTTCCACGGCCAGTCAGGTTTTCCCATCAACCACCATACCGCAACTTCCAGGGACAGCCAGCCACATTAGTGAGGAATGTACATACGGACGTCATGCCTGTACTATGCGAACGGAAGACCCTCTATCTCAGACAATCCATCTTCACACAACGTACAGAATGCATTCTAGACTTCGACAATAACTGCGAACTTTGAATACATAGTAAGGTTCCTCTACTTTCCAGCACGCTAAAAACAGCATGCCGTTCAAAAGTTTACAGAGAGAACTTTCTGTAGACTACAAGGGAACTGCACAGATGACACACATGCGCACACACCTGCGCATACACACACCACACACACACACACACACCGACTGACCATCTGGCCTTGCACTGCTTGGCAGACTTGCGATGAAGCAACGATGCAATACGAGACCACTGGTTCTTGCCATATTTCATTACAGACGCTTTCAAGATCTCATCCTGGACAGACAAGAATCAAAAGGAGTATACCGAAAACAGATGATGCCAATGGGGATAATGACAACGTCCAGCAGACAAAAATGAGCAATATTGCTTTCGTAGCAAGCACAAAGGAGACGCAGCGGTAGTCCAACGAAAAATGAAAGTGCACGGCAGGTCCTATGCTACTGTAAACAGCCTAATGTTTGCTAATGTTTGCGAGAAGAGAGTAACGCAAATATTAACCATCGTGAAATCAAACTTCAACAGTGGGTGTTTGTGTGGCCACGGTGCTCCACGAATATTTGCCATTGTAAACTCGCTGGTTCTGAGAGATCACAACAATTTAGTGGCACAAACATTGGGCGGTTTACAGTATTTAAATCTGGATTGACTTTGACTACCACTGTGACACAACTGACAGGGACGTAGCTCGCAGTGTGGCGACCTTGAATCAGAGCACAATTGCAGTGTGGGGACCATTTACCACCGGCAACCTCATAAAATCGCTATGCCACCAATTTTTGAATATGTACGAGTACCTATGACGGCCATTTGCTGGCGTGGCAACCAGACTATACTGACTACACGAGCAATGCGCCTGGGTGGAGTGCTGGAAAACCCCTAGGTCAAGTAGCAAGTAGGAAGTGATTGATACCAGACAATCTCTAAAGAGATAAAAGTCCGATGGTGCAGAAAATGGATGTGCGAGTCTGCTGCATGCTATTTTATCAAGCTCAACAGTGACGAGTAGCTGGAGGGACCAACACAACGACAAAAGGCTGATGGCACAGACACTGGATGTGCCAGTCTGCTATTCGCAGCTGTGGAGCTGGACAGTGGCGCGTGCAGGGACCGGACATGACCTAAAAGCATGCACAGAGATCTGCTAGCTTTCCACATTTTCACCGCAGCTTGCGACACAAACGTGCTGGAGGTGCCATGTACAGTGCTGCTCAATGAAATCCAGTCGCGTCACTCAAGTACGCGCCGGGCGTTGCGCAGCCCTAGACCTGCGAACACTGGGCTGCGAAAAACTTGATCGACGCGACTGGATTTCATCCAGAAGTACTGTAACTGTTTTCAGTAGCCCGAGCTATTGAAAACAGTTACTTGCCATACAGCTGTACAGACTGGCTGAGCTATTGAAAAAAAACAGTTACTTGCCATACAGCTGTACAGACTGGCCGAGCTATTGAAAACAGTTACTTGCCATACAGCTGTACAGACTGGCCGAGCTATTGAAAACAGTTACTTGCCATACAGCTGTACAGACTGGCCGAGCTATTGAAAACAGTTACTTGCCATACAGCTGTACAGACTGGCCGAGCTATTGAAAACAGTTACTTGCCATACAGCTGTACAGACTGGCCGAGCTATTGAAAACAGTTACTTGCCATACAGCTGTACAGACTGGCCGAGCTATTGAAAACAGTTACTTGCCATACAGCTGTACAGACTGGCCGAGCTATTGAAAACAGTTACTTGCCATACAGCTGTACAGACTGGCCGAGCTATTGAAAACAGTTACTTGCCATACAGCTGTACAGACTGGCCGAGCTATTGAAAACAGTTACTTGCCATACAGCTGTACAGACTGGCCGAGCTATTGAAAACAGTTACTTGCCATACAGCTGTACAGACTGGCCGAGCTATTGAAAACAGTTACTTGCCATACAGCTGTACAGACTGGCCGAGCTATTGAAAACAGTTACTTGCCATACAGCTGTACAGACCGACCGAGCTATTGAAAACAGTTACTTGCCATACAGCTGTACAGACCGGCCGAGCTATTGAAAACAGTTACTTGCCATACAGCTGTACAGACCGGCCGAGCTATTGAAAACAGTTACTTGCCATACAGCTGTACAGACTGGCCGAGCTATTGAAAACAGTTACTTGCCATACAGCTGTACAGACTTGCCGAGCTATTGAAAACAGTTACTTGCCATACAGCTGTACAGACTGGCCGGGCTATTGAAAACAGTTACTTGCCATACAGCTGTACAGACTGGCCGAGCTATTGAAAACAGTTACTTGCCATACAGCTGTACAGACCGGCCGAGCTATTGAAAACAGTTACTTGCCATACAGCTGTACAGACCGGCCGAGCTATTGAAAACAGTTACTTGCCATACAGCTGTACAGACTGGCCGAGCTATTGAAAACAGTTACTTGCCATACAGCTGTACAGACTTGCCGAGCTATTGAAAACAGTTACTTGCCATACAGCTGTACAGACTGGCCGAGCTATTGAAAACAGTTACTTGCCATACAGCTGTACAGACTGGCCGAGCTATTGAAAACAGTTACTTGCCATACAGCTGTACAGACCGGCCGAGCTATTGAAAACAGTTACTTGCCATACAGCTGTACAGACTGGCCGAGCTATTGAAAACAGTTACTTGCCATACAGCTGTACAGACTGGCCGAGCTATTGAAAACAGTTACTTGCCATACAGCTGTACAGACTTGCCGAGCTATTGAAAACAGTTACTTGCCATACAGCTGTACAGACTGGCCGAGCTATTGAAAACAGTTACTTGCCATACAGCTGTACAGACTGGCCGAGCTATTGAAAACAGTTACTTGCCATACAGCTGTACAGACTGGCCGAGCTATTGAAAACAGTTACTTGCCATACAGCTGTACAGACTGGCCGAGCTATTGAAAACAGTTACTTGCCATACAGCTGTACAGACTGGCCGAGCTATTGAAAACAGTTACTTGCCATACAGCTGTACAGACTGGCCGAGCTATTGAAAACAGTTACTTGCCATACAGCTGTACAGACTGGCCGAGCTATTGAAAACAGTTACTTGCCATACAGCTGTACAGACTGGCCGAGCTATTGAAAACAGTTACTTGCCATACAGCTGTACAGACTGGCCGAGCTATTGAAAACAGTTACTTGCCATACAGCTGTACAGACTGGCCGAGCTATTGAAAACAGTTACTTGCCATACAGCTGTACAGACCGACCGAGCTATTGAAAACAGTTACTTGCCATACAGCTGTACAGACTGGCCGAGCTATTGAAAACAGTTACTTGCCATACAGCTGTACAGACTGGCCGAGCTATTGAAAACAGTTACTTGCCATACAGCTGTACAGACTGGCCGAGCTATTGAAAACAGTTACTTGCCATACAGCTGTACAGACTGGCCGAGCTATTGAAAACAGTTACTTGCCATACAGCTGTACAGACTGGCCGGGCTATTGAAAACAGTTACTTGCCATACAGCTGTACAGACTGGCCGAGCTATTGAAAACAGTTACTTGCCATACAGCTGTACAGACTGGCCGAGCTATTGAAAACAGTTACTTGCCATACAGCTGTACAGACTGGCCGAGCTATTGAAAACAGTTACTTGCCATACAGCTGTACAGACTGGCCGGGCTATTGAAAACAGTTACTTGCCATACAGCTGTACAGACTGGCCGAGCTATTGAAAACAGTTACTTGCCATACAGCTGTACAGACTGGCCGAGCTATTGAAAACAGTTACTTGCCATACAGCTGTACAGACTGGCCGAGCTATTGAAAACAGTTACTTGCCATACAGCTGTACAGACTGGCCGAGCTATTGAAAACAGTTACTTGCCATACAGCTGTACAGACTGGCCGAGCTATTGAAAACAGTTACTTGCCATACAGCTGTACAGACTGGCCGAGCTATTGAAAACAGTTACTTGCCATACAGCTGTACAGACCGACCGAGCTATTGAAAACAGTTACTTGCCATACAGCTGTACAGACTGGCCGAGCTATTGAAAACAGTTACTTGCCATACAGCTGTACAGACTGGCCGAGCTATTGAAAACAGTTACTTGCCATACAGCTGTACAGACTGGCCGAGCTATTGAAAACAGTTACTTGCCATACAGCTGTACAGACTGGCCGAGCTATTGAAAACAGTTACTTGCCATACAGCTGTACAGACTGGCCGGGCTATTGAAAACAGTTACTTGCCATACAGCTGTACAGACTGGCCGAGCTATTGAAAACAGTTACTTGCCATACAGCTGTACAGACCGGCCGAGCTATTGAAAACAGTTACTTGCCATACAGCTGTACAGACCGGCCGAGCTATTGAAAACAGTTACTTGCCATACAGCTGTACAGACTGGCCGAGCTATTGAAAACAGCTACTTGCCATACAGCTGTACAGACTGGCCGAGCTGTTCACTCTAGTAGTACATGTATCGGGAGGTGGCTAGGACACCAGCTTACTCTACTGCGCAGACTATGTCTCTGCAGCAGCATGTGTGCCAGTGCTTCGGTTCGATTTTCACACTGTTCCTTTTGGGGGGGGGGGGGTTCCGCTCAGCACCACCTAGACGAGCTCTTCATGGTGGCCCAGGATCGAGCAGCTTCGAGAGGATTTACTCACGCGCGCATAGCGCGCGTGCGGGCGCGGACGTTCTTTAGCCGAGGAACAGCAGCGGAACCATGTGTTGTACAGTGATATTGTACTTATTGTGTCAATGCATATTGTACGTGATCTGTCACATATCATTATTATTGTTATTGGGAACGGAGCGGACAGCTGACCCGTACACAGGTGCATCCAACTGTACAGACACCTGCAGTTTAAACCCAAGCGACTGGCGATATCTCGCCTACTAAACCCGTTCATGCTCTTTCTGGAATCCGTCTTCTGTATACAGGTGGAATCCTGATAATTCGAATATCGCTTAATTCGAACATACCGCTTAATTAGAAGTTTTTTCCAGGACAGATTTCTGTCAACACGATTCCCACATAAAATGTTCTGATAATTCGAACCTCGAACCGGACATGTCCGGTAATTCGAAGTTCCACGGATTCCACTTACATAGAAAATGTGTGGGATTTGTGCTGATAATTCGAAGTTAGCAACGTGTAATTCGAAGTTCACTGTACACTGTACTGGTCAGTTTAGTTTGCATGAGCTGGCTGTGCCGGTCAGTTCAGTATCCGTGAAATCTGTGTCTAAGGTCCATAGCGCAACTCTGCGTGACCATGGGAGCATTTTGACATACATATTGTGTTGTGGGTTCATGTTTGGATAATTAGAATGTCCGGATAATTAGAAGTGTTTTCTGGCATTTGGAGGTTCGAATTATCAGGATTTCACCTGTACTACAGTATTATGTACTACCGTACTGGCAATATATGTTGCCGCAGTGAGGCCATGAAGCGTTACATTGGTACATGTTTGCCGCACGCAGGGCGTTACATGCAAAGTCGCACAGGAGCCGTTACACAGGTTTCTATATTGCCGCAGTCCTTTTTTTTGCCACGCGGTACACGTGCTTTCACAGTTTTCAGCCTTTGCAGTGCAAACTGCGATGAAAAGATCGCCGCACCCCGCCTGACGCGCGTTACGAACACAACGAAAATTTGTCGCACTAGCCTGGTCGCGCGTTACGCCGCACCCCCCTGCGTTACGCGTTACGCGGCAACATATATTGCCAGTACGGTAGTTGATGGGTTCTCAACCAAAAAGGATGAAAATCAGTGAAAGTTCGCGCATTTGCGTATTTCAGCAGCTAAATTTCGAAACCTATGGGTCTAATCACTACAACAATGCAGGATCAAGACAATGCTGGACAACAACTGAGAGAAGGATTGAGAGTGTGCACCGAATTTTCAAAAAATATACTAATTTTTATGGGCTTTCCATATAAATGCAACCGCATTCCTCGGAATAAATTTGAACAGGGTACGAGTGGGATCGACTCGGCCAATATGTGAACCTTGCCACGATCCAAGCTGGAATACCCATGGCACAATCACGCACACTAAATTTCCAACGAGAACAACAATATTCTCACCTCTGTGTTCCTCCACACACCACCTTTTATCATAATTCGCGGCATGGTGGAAGTTGTCGGGAGCTTGAAGCTCCAACAGCCAAGAAAGCACTACTTCAGTCGCCTACGTGAAAAATCAGCTCCTACGGCATATGCCTAAAATTAAACGGGGTAGAATTTTTCAGCTACGACTCGCCCAAAGTTTCGGCCATCCATCCGAAAGAAGACGGAGACTTCTTTGCCAAAAAAATTACTGATATGATGCAGGATCGATCGGTGCAGCGTGCATCGAAGAAGCTGCAAGATGCGATCTCGCGAGCTGCGGCGCTGTTTCCGTGGTTTCTAGGGGAACAAGCGATGACATCATGACGCCAGTTTTTCTCCCTTTTTTGCTAAATTTTTGAGAGATCTTTAGTTGTGCATCGCGCATGGCGACGCATCGCTGCTGTTGCTATGGTAAACAGATGGGGGCGAAATCTACGCTGCACGCAGACACCGCACTCCAAACAGTTTAGCTCTTGCTGCTCTTGCTGCGACTTTCGCTGCCGGGAGGGAGGATTTGGCCAAGGGCAGAGGCTAGCAGGAAAAAATCCGTGTATACCCTTCCTGGGTTCAGTCTGCCCTCATTCTCAAAATCGCTAGCTCTAACGTTTGAGCTTGGAAGTTGGATGCAGCGGCGCGACTGCCAGAAGCCGAATCTTGCGCGCTCACCAGTACCATCGCCCCACAATACTCTGCTGCTTCTTCTACACATCGGCTGATGGTCGCAGGACACGGCATTGAACAAGCGATTCAACAAAATAGAACAGCGGAGGAGAACGGCGACGAGGCGAGAAGATGCCGATTCCGTACGCGACCAAAATTGCGTCCTCGGGTCCGCCGGGACTGGGACCGGAGGGAACCTATTCCTTCTCGGCGGCTCCTAGGGCGCAGGTCGCCCAGCCGCGCCGCAAGCCGATGCAGCAGCAGCAGCAGCAGTATCGTGATGCGCAGGCTCTTGTATCGAGCGGTGAAGTAACAGGGTGAGTCTGCTCGTCTGTCCGATGCGCGGGTGGTTTGACTCGCGACCAGTGTGTGTGTATTTTTTTAATTAATTAAATTTTACAATACGTGTAGATTTACCAGGTGCGGTGAAGCGTACAAGCAGCTAGAGACCAGCTGATTGGCGGCATGCACCACGTAATAGTGAGGTTTTGGTCTACGTTACGGGAACGCGACGCGAAGTATCCGGGGAACTCTCTTCGCTTTTCGTAGAAACCTGGACCCAAAACACGCGAAGCCATAGACTCTAACCCAGACACCTGCTCTCTACGTGATTTCCCTACGTTTCACGTGTAGCAGAACCTCTCTATTGGCACCAGATCACCACCTCACTGTCTTGCAATGTTCATCCTAGGGTATGTACTACAGTATGATAGGGCGCCGAAGAATACTTCGCCAAAGTTTTCCACATGCTTGATCACATCGCATGATGCTCTCCATGATCGCAGAATAAGAACAGTACGACGAACATTTGAACTTTTTAGAACAATGGTAGGCTGCGCCACTGCGTTACTGTAGCTGGGTTGGTCTTCTGCCAACAGTGGGGGCTTAGTGTTTAGTTACTGCAACGGGTGGTACAGGGACGTCGGATATGCTACGGTCACTACGGCATTGACCGTATCACTCTTTGTGTGTCTGACTCTGTACATGTACTGATGTACGGATGCCCATTTATGTCCATGTGTGTGTGTGTGTGTGTGTGTGTGTGTTCTTATCCGCACACACGTTTACACCTGCATGTGTGTTTATACATGTCTGTCTGTCTGTCTGTCGGAAGCAGCCAGTACGGCAATCTCATGTTTGAGCGGCGCATCGTTCGCGGAAACACATACGCACAGGCCAAACTCATTTCGGTAAGTCTTGAAACCACCTAACTACTTACGGGGGGGGGGCATGATCCTTGTACAGTGCTGGCAACTGAAATCCGAACCCTGAGCGGTGCGTTCACATTCTAGCGGTCTCTATTTCGTAGTGTTACAATCCTGCGTTGGGTCTTTACGATGTGAGCGCACCGCTCAGGGGTCGGATTTCAGATGCCAGCACTGTAGTACGTGAGCACACATGTTCACTGTAGAATGTACATGTACTAAATACATGAATGCAGCGAGTACGGTAAACCGTCACGGGGCGACGGACATGCTGAGGATACTACGGAATTGGTCGTACCACTTTTTTTGCCTCGGGAGCCCTATGAATGAATAAAATGCAATGATTTAATTAAAAGTATGGACTCTAAAAGTTTGTCTGCTTTTCAAGTGTTCCGGTCAAGCCCCCATGCAGGATGGGCACTTTTAATAGTTGGACGACTTTATCACCCCAAAATCGTGACCTTCTGACACCCTTGCGAGTGGTCATAGATATTGGGTTTGGTCATCTCTATTACTGTACTTGGTCCGTTCCATCGCAATTGTCGCTTATCTATCGCAACTAAGAACAGGAGTTTTTTTACCGCTCTGTGAAATTTCCAATACGCATAGTGAAGAAGCATGATACAGGATTCCTGTCCGCCACAAGAAATAAATTCAGCGATGGAATCTGATGAAGCAAGTCGAAGAAAGGAAGCAAGGTTACAAAAAATGTACAAAAGAAAACAGCGACGGAGCGCCTTCTTGCACTCAGGCTTTAGTTTATCCGACTCTGGCTCTGTATGTATCACTCGAGCTGATGCCACTTGAGCTCACATTCACTGGTGTGTATAGCTGCTAGCGTAGAGTACCGTATCTCTTGCTTTCTCCGCTTGGCGTATAGCAGCGACGGGAAAGGAACAGTCGTGGTTGTCACTTTGGCACTTGGAGGAACGTGGGCAGCGCAGCGTGACCCGTCTGTCACTACAGTACTGTGTGTTCAACAATGTTTTTGAATCAGGCACACATCCCTCTCCAGACAGCTGTCATACGCTCTGCTGGATACGCTGACCACGACTCTTGTGCTGCCGCTGCCAGGTCGGACAATGTCTTCTTTGCCACCATCTCGCCATCAGTTTGCAGGCTTGCAAAGAATACCAGGTCATTGCAGTTCAAACATTGCAGTTCAAACAACTGAGCTGGCTGGCCTCGCCGTGACTGTCACGCTCTCCAGGTCAGGATGTCGATTTCCCCTGCTACAGTTCCAGTCTTTGAGCTGCGCTTGGCTTTTCGCTGCAGTGAATGTGTGCATTCACTGCAGTGCATTCACTGCAGCGAAAAGTTTCCCACTTTTCCATCAAAATTGTATGAATCGCGATGCCACTGGCGCTAGTCGCGATGGTTTTTTTCTTTCTGGCTCCTCTGATCTTGCCATCACAACCTCCCAAACGAATGTGAGTTAGATATCGAGATAGGACTGGGTTTTACCTGTCAAAAGGTGTGTGGGAGATAAGCGACAATTGCGATGAAACGGACCAAGTATTTAAAAATCACGAAACCAAGCACTGACTGTATTGATGAAGACAATGGCAGCGGAAGCAAGAGCAGCAGCAACAACGACAGCAACGACAATCTCTTATAAGCCCACTGCACAATGACGTAATTTGCACCGTAAACACCCCGTGCAGCCACCTGGGTGTGGTCGTCTGGGATGTTGAACAGTGCATTGCAGATCCCAGCGTGCTCACATGCATTACTCATACCTTCCATATTTGGCAATGGGCTTATTGGCCACGGACTATTGCGAGAATATAGATTTCAAACACCAACAGCAGCACAACTCTATTGCTCCCTGTGTCATTTTTGTTCTATGTGTTCTCTCGTGTCTGTCCGGCCTCTGCCTGTCGCGGCAACACTTGGTGTGGGTGTATGTGTGTGTGTGTGTGTGTGTGTGTGTGTGTGTGTGTGTGTGTGTGTGTGTGTGTGTGTGTGTGTGTGTGTGTGTGTTGCTGCCGCATCACAGACCCAGCCTGACCCGGTGGAGATACAACGACAGCAGGAGATCCGACGGAGAGCGCTGGCTAGGAGGAAAAAGACAGAGCAGCAACGGCCACGCACACCGGATGCCGTGGAGGGTCGAAAACATATCCTCAATCACATTATGCGGTATTTATAAAAGAAAGGACCGAAATGTTACGTGTTATCCTTAGTTCGTGTCCAACACTAACAGCTATAACTTTTTAGCAAGAGGTTGTGTAGTCTTTTTGATTTTGATTTTAATCGATCAGCGTGGGCCTATGTTGCACGCTGTTAGAGGAGTTGCCATTCACGAATAGGTCGCCGCGACATCATGACCCTGGGATACTGCAGTTCTGGCCGGCAGAGAATAGAACTCCAACCTCATGAATAAAGTAGTGCCACGCTGAAGCAGGCGCGTGCCCCGTATTGGTTCCTGGGTGCCCGGAACCCCCCTTTTTTCGCTCAAAATGCAGGATTTTGCTTCATTTTTTGAAAAATTTTCCCGGGGGAGGTCCCCCAGAACCCCCGTTGAAGGGCACCGGCGCACGCGCCTGTGAAGTACGCAGAGTGGTCTGTGTGGTGCCAGGAAAGCGTAGCCCCTCCCCGCCACACTATTGTATTCACAAGGTCGGATTACTCTGGTAAGGACTGTAGATTACTGTAATATTATGTTTTGACGTCAATTAAAGTTAAAGATCTCCGGATTTTTGTGGGTTAGCGAGGTGAAATTCTAACGAATTCCGTCTCAAAACCGGCAAATGACTGTACATGTACATATCGTTTTGTACATAACGACTTCAAATGTTAACGGGTTTTTTAAATCCGTTAAATCGTTAGAATTAACTGTTCGTTAAAGGGGCACTCCGGCTTCATTTTCGACGTCGAGTTTTCGATGCCAAGGCGAAGGTAGGTGAAAGAGAAGACCCCTCGAACAAGAACGAGTCTCCAGAAGCGATCGAGTCGAGCAGGAAGACGACTTTTGAATTTCGGCCGAGCGAGCGCTGATGACGTAATGAGGGATTAGCTTGCCAGTGGAAATGCATCTGCGCACATACATTTCACATACTTTTTGGCCAATTTTCAATCGAAGAAGAGGTTGTTTGCTATGTTCTCCCAAAGCCGTGAGCGATCCCGTCTTCTATACCCTTCCAGGTACCCTGAAGGTCCTCCAGAGGAGAATTTATCTCCATCGAAGCGTTGTTGATCCGCTAAATTCGTCTCGAGACATATTCACCCAGTGCAGTGCTGATAAATGTAGAATGTTGAATCTGTGATAATCGTCGACGATGGAGAGAGAGGCTGATAGCCGCTGTCGCAGGGAGAGTGAAGCTGCTGGAAGTAACAACGGGGAGCCCGCTTGTATCACCTGAACAACCAGACTTCAAAGCAGCTTGACCAAATCGGAGGGTGCCTCGTTGCTTATCGTGAATATTACACCGACATGAATTACTACAAGTATACTGGTGAGTTTTTATCTTGTTTTGTTCTTATGCTAGTACCCTGGCCTGGAGTTCTCGTTAGCAAATTCCTATTCCCTGGCGTTTTCTAAACATTCCGTGTAGGACTGAATACGTGATCAAGTATTCCGATTTGGGTAGATGTGGAATTTGGACATGTATTTTATAATTTTTTTTTCTTCCAAATAGAGCGTTTGTAGAGAAATGGTTGCCCAAATACAACAAAATTTATTCTGCAGTTCTACAACTAACTTGTACTGAAATCCAGTCAAAGTAAAAATGATTCTTCATGACAGTTGGGGTCAATGAAATCTGATCCAGGCATAACGAATGGTGACGCCTGCCACCCCGGGAACGAATGCCCATTTGGTGGGGGATACCAAAGTACTCGAAAGTAGTGCGTGTTTCAATGTGGCATGGAAGTTTTATTATGATCTCTGGTCAATGCAACATATGATAGCCATCATGAATTGCAGGCCTCTAACGCAACTCCTACCAGAATTGGCAGTTCCCTAAGTTAGATGCTTTATAATTCCATGGCCCCAGCTGTAGTTATAGAGGTTTTTATTCTTATAGTCGATAGGTTTATACTGATGGCCACAAACAACGGCAGTTCAAACTTCACTGATGTGTTCATGAGCTGAGAGATTTCTCTCCACTATTTCTGTTGTGCACACAGGTCTGTCCAATATGCATTGACCGTATTGGGTATGGTACCTGCTCTGAGAAGGGAATCGCTGGAGCCACAGTCCAACTATACAGGCTTTCAAGAAACAGAGAGGAGCCATCTTTGCAAGCTGATACCTGATGTGTACCGACAGAATTCTCACGAGATACCTTACAGACTACGCCTGGTGTATACTTCATAGTACTCCTTCGACTACTGTCCAGAATCAAGTCGACTGAAGCAAGTTCAAACAACTCTGGCTTCAAACTAGCCGTCGATTAGACAAACAAAACATTCTCTCATATACTAGAGCACTCTGACAACTCATGACCTATTCCTAACGATTGCCAACGCTTATAAATATGTAGAGTACTGATTGGAATGTGCTCACAATCTCAACAATTCAGTGCTATAATTATTTGAACTATGTGTTCCTTCCATAAATGTTGTATCCACATATAATCCACAGTGCTGCAAAGTTTCAGAGTTCTCAGGGTATCAAACAAAATTATTTCAAATACAGTGAAATTGTTCGTGTACATCATAGCGTAACTTGTAGTTCCCTGGTCCTTTTCTTTGCTGTAAATTAATCCTTTGCTCTCTAGCCGCCGGCGAGTCCAACAGTGAAATTGTTAGTTCATATTTATGTGTGTGTGTGGGGGGGGGGGGGGGGGGGGTTGAACATAATTCTATATAAGGGACCTGCAACTGTAATACCACAGTACAGTAGATAGCAAATATGTAGAAAACAGAAATGCATGTTCCCATCATTGTACATGGATCAGCAAGAACAGGATTTACAATCGCCTAGAGATACTTGAGCTATTCCAGTATTCTCCGTGAGCTGTCCCATTCCACAATGGTTCATGCCACCATTATTTCTGGTAGTATCCATGTGCATAATTCCAAGACCATCTCGGATTCAACGCTTGACTCGGTCACTGGGGCTGTCAAACTTCGCATCACAAATGAACTTCAATTTCTCATCTGGTTCAAGTATATGTACTGCCATGACTTGACCATGCTTCATCTACAGCTAGGCGAAGATTGTGGCGTTGAATTCCATAGCGCACCTTCTTGCCGCCATGCAGGAGAATGTTGAGAGAAGTGAACATATTTTTACTAAAAAAACAACAGCCACTGAAGAGGATAGCATTAGCAATAGCCTTGGGTGAATTTCCTGCAGGTACACGTTGTTGGTAGGTCTACTGGTCGGTCTCCATATCGTCAAGTTCAGAAATCACCTGTACTACACATCTTGTAGAAGGGATCCTGATCGAAAAATTTTCTGATCATAAAATTCACTAAACTGAGGGCGAGACAAATAGTCAGTACTCCCCGATTCCGTCTAGCTGCTTTGATCAAGTGATGCTAACAAGCTCCCCGTTGTTACTTTCAGCAGCTTCACTTTCCCTGCGACAGCGGCTATCAACCTTTCTGTCCATCGTCGACAATTATCACAGATTCAACATTCTACATTTGTCAGCACTGCACTGGGTGAATACGTCTCGAGAACAATTTAGCGGATCAACAACGCTTTGCTGGAGATAAATTCCCCTCTGGAGGACCTTCAGGGTACCTGGAAGGGTATAGAAGACGGGATCGCTCACGACGTTGAAAGAACATAGAAAACAACCTCCTCTTCGATTGAAAATTGGCCAAAAAGTATGTGAAATGTATGTGCGCAGATGCATTTCCACTGGCAAGCTAATTCCTCATTACGTCATCAGCGCTCGCTCGGCGAAATTCAAAAGTCGTCTTCCTGCTCGACTCGATCGCTTCTGGAGACTCGTTCTTGTCCGAGGGGTCTTCTCTTTCACCAACCTTCGTCTTGGCATCGAAAACTCGGCGTCGAAAATGAAGCCGGAGTGCCCCTTTAAGATTACTGGTCTTACAGTAGAACCTGAGCAGTTTATTGCAGGCAGAAGAAAATTCGATGCATGCCTCACACTGTTGTCCTTGACTGCGGTGTACATGAAACAGTTCAGACCGACGCATACCTGTACGAACTGGGCAAGGCGATAGAGGAGCGGGACGTGGAAGTCCAGACGGACGACCGGATCGATCGGCCACCCACCCCGGTCTACGTGCCGGCAAAGACGGGCATCGATCAGGAGACGCAGATTTACCCCGGCGATGTAAGTTGTTCCAAATATGGTGATTACATTACGTCATTGCTTTATAGCATGATGCCATTGGTTGATCACACTAGGCCGCGGGTTGATCACACCGTGTCATTGGTTGATCTTGTGATATCATTGGTTGACAACATGATGTCATTGTGTGAGTTCATGTTGTCATTGTGTGATTACTACCTAGTGATTACATGATGTCATTGGATGATCACGAGGTGATTGCTGTATTGATCAATCATTCAGGGGCATTCAGGGGCATTGGAAGGCACTCTACATTGGTGCGACCCTGAAAATGTGTGGTTGCGGGGGGGGGGGGGCGTCCCCCGGGAAACCTTTAGGAAACTTGGGCCCCAGTAGCCTTTATTTCATTGCTCCAAAAAACACAGGATAAAAATTATTGGTGCGGATTTGGCCACTATTGCCGCACTGATTCCGATGCCCCTGTCATTGTGCTTGGATTTGTAGGAAGTGAGGAAAGGAAAGCGTCCACTTCATCTTGAGTTGACTGCTCTTGAACTGGATTTTCTGTATTAGATGTATTATGGGTGTCTATATGGGTGTGGGTGTGCGGAAACGTCGCCGTGTGTGTGTGTGTGCATACGTGGACATGTTCCAATGCAGCTGTTCGACTTTGAAATAGAGTGCAAGCCACTCGTGTCCGTCCTTGTCGCCAAGTCCATGGAGCAAGCGTTGATCGAAGTAATGGAGGAGGAAGAGCTCGTTTCACTCAAGGAAAGACAGGTGAGCAAGCAGGATAATGGAAGATATGTGGACCAGACCAGTTCCCAGAGATAGGGTGGAGGCAGTTTTTATTTTGGTCCAGCCGTGTCGTAGCCTTTTATACGTTGTGTGTGATGTGGTGGGTGCTAGTGGCTTTACAGCGGCACAGTGTTTGCCCACAAGCACCCCTCCGATCGAATTGGGTCCTCTTCCCCGTTGCTTGCGATTAATGCATGCCGGTGTGTGTGTGTGTGTGTGTGTGTGTGTGTGTGTGTGTGTGCGCGCGTGCGTGCGTGTGTGTGCGTGCGTGTGCGTGTGTGCACGTGTGAGCACGTGTGAGCACTCCATCTGCCGTTACGTTTGTTTGCGACTTGCTCACACATGCATGCTCTCTGTCATGTTTGCCTGCAGCGTGAGTTTGAGGAGCTACGGCAAGCCGAGTTACTCGAGGCACAGCGATTGGAGGAGAAGGAGAGACGGCATCAGCAAGAGAAGGTATGGAACTCAGAATTGCTTTTTTGCTTGACTGATTGATTGCTCCAGGAGCGACATCTGCGCCTTGATCCTTGGGGGTGGTGGCGTTCCTGCGGATGTGGAGAACTTGGCCTGCAGGCGAGTCTCACGCGAACCGTGATTTTTCATTGATTGATTTTTATATAAGATCGACCAACGGCTGCAGGAGCCTATCGAGGAGTTTCCGCCGGCCATTCTGATTGCAGCTGGCCAGACAGGTTAATTTTAAAAGGACCAGCTTAAGTTTTGGTGAACCAGCCCAGGTTTTGGTGGACCGGCTCAGGTTTTGGTGGACTGGCCCAGGATTTTGGTAGACCAGCCCAGGATTTTGGTAGACCAGCCCAGGATTTTGGTAGACCAGCCCAGGATTTTGGTAGACTAGCCCAGGATTTTGGTAGACTAGCCCAGGATTTTGGTAGACCAGCCCAGGATTTTGGTAGACTAGCCCAGGATTTTGCCGGGTAGACCAGCCCAGGATTTTGGTAGACCAGCCCAGGATTTTGGTAGACCAGCCCAGGATTTTGGTAGACCAGCCCAGGATTTTGGTAGACCAGCCCAGGATTTTGGTAGACCAGCCCAGGATTTTGGTAGACCAGCCCAGGATTTTGGTAGACTAGCCCAGGTTCTGGTGTACAAACTCGGGTTATGGTAGACCAGTCCAGGGTTATGCAGATAAACCTTGGTTTGTGGACCAGTCCAGGGTTATGGTGAAGCAGCCCAGGTTGTGTGGAGAAGCACAGGTTTTGTGGCAAGATCAGGTTTTGTGGAAAGGACCAGGTTTTGGTAGAACAGCCCAGGTTTTGGTGGACCAGCTCAGGTTTTGTGGACCAGCCCAGGGTTTTGGTGGACCAGCCCAAGTGTTGTGGATAAGCCTAGGTTTTGCGAACTAGCTCAGGTTTTGTGGATAAGCCTAGGTTTAGCGGATCAGCCCATGTTTTGTGGATAAGCCTGTGTTTATGGACCAGCCCACGTTAGGTGGACAAGATCAGGTTTTGTGGATAGGCTAGGCTAGGTTTGTGGACCAGCCCAGGGTTTTGGTGGACCAGCCCAGGGCTTTCGTGGACCCGCCCAGGGTTTTGGTCAGATTAGGATTTCATGCTTGGGCGTGTTTGATAAGATACTGCAAATCCGGAAAGTTTAACGTTTTTGTAATTTTGGCGTGATAGGTGCAGAAAGGTTAACGATGTTTGTACAACGGAAAGAACATGCATCGATGCATGCGCATCTTTACATAGACATCTCAAACTGGGTACCGTATATTCTCTATTATAATCGCCGTGCTTATATTTTTTCAACAGCCCTCTACCCCGTGCTTATATTTTTTCAACACCCCTCTACCCCGTGCTTATATTGGAGACCGCGCCTATATTGGAGACCGTGCTTATATTGGAGGCCGTGCTTATATTTTTTCAACCAATACATCCATAGAGAGCAAGAAGAAATACATGCTAGATATCATGCATGCAGCATTGATTTCCACCATGACCGTGCTAATAATAGAGACTGTGCTTATAATGTTTCGAAAGGTGCTCACAGTGTGCTAGTATTAGAGACTGTGCTAGTAATGGAGACCTGTGCTTATAATAGAGAATATACGGTATGCAACTCGCTTGCAGGGAAGCCTACATTGTGTACATGTACTGTGGATCCTAGGAGACATCATACAAACCGTGATTCATGTTATTTTAGAAGTCTAGTGAGTAGTTTTCATCGGGCTTAGCATGCAAATGTGACAGTTCGGTACACTCCTGCATTAGTTTCTTTTGTTGTAATGTGGCAAGAATTTCGGATGGTTTTATTTCCAACCAATCTTTATCTTACTGGCATCTATTCATTGTATGCTGTATGTCTGTGTCCCTGTGCCTGTGTGTGTGTGTGTGTGTGTGTGTGTGTGTGTGTGTGTGTGTGTGTATGGGTGTGTTTGTGTGTGCCTGTGTGTGTGTGTCTGTCTGTCTATCTGTTGCTCAGGAGGACCGCCGGCAGCAAATGCTCAAGGCCAACGAGCTGCAGAAGGAGACGGCGGCCAAGGTGGCTATGCTTGCATTCGCAACTGTAAGTACTACGGTACTGAGTACTTTCTTCTCAGTCCTTTAGACCAATGACATGGAGCATTCTCCTCCATCGCCTCCTCAGTGTCTTGGTTGAGCACTGTGTCTGGCCCGTGTGTGCTGCAAGGCTATCTGCCCTCATGCAAAGCTCACCAGTGTGTTGTGTTAGAGCACCCTGACTCTGGTGCTTTGAGTCGGTTGAAACATTCATTGTTCTTCACTAGGCCTCATTGCCATCGGTTCGTCCAGGCACTCTGAGCTCCGAAGATTGAGTATGAGTTATACCTGATTCGTACTCTCCGCTTGGCACACGTGGAACGATTCACAATGCGTGCACGGGCGACAGCCACGCGATGGGCCAAACAATGGGAGGTATGCGTTTAAGATGGCTATCACCTTTTTGCGGGGCAAGTTGCCCCATGCTTGGCAGGCACAACCCACTCTAGCACATCTATAAGTATGAGTACGACCTTACAAAGTTCATGATCTTTTATGCAGAGCTGGTATCACAGTGTGTACGGTTGTAGTGGACTTGCACCGCAAAACCTAACGGCGGGAAATTGATGCATACGTCCCATTGAGCTCCAGTCAACTTTTTCGCCGCAACGGGCAATTATGATGCGTTTCCCGTACATACACAAAATGAAGTAGGACTCGGGCTTTATGCCGTGCCTTTGCCCTTGCACCGGCAGCTTCGCCACGTCACCACACAAAACAACACTTCCAGATGATTCCTAGGGGGCGCTGGCTTCTCTTCCCTTTAAAACCCATTCAGCGCTAAAGAAATATATATATACGTCATTGAAAATGACGCCAAGGCGCTGATGACTTATATATATATGTGAGCGGACAAGGTAGAAATGGAACGTTAGCTGCATGACATCATTTTGAGATACAGGCGTTTGAAGTTTGGCAAACTGTGGCATATTTTTTACCTGGGTTAGAGGGCTCTATTTGCATCAAGCGCTTGTGCCTCGCTCAGCACAGGGCTTCAAGGTCCAGCACTGAAAATTTGAAGTGAATCCGTTATGGCTGAACTTGGGAAGATATGGCAGCTAGTTGTGCGACGGGTGGCGTATTGACGGGCGAATTTGGAGGTGACGGCGATCAGCTGATAGCCTGATGTCAGGTGCTGAGAGCTTCTCTGATTCTGAGAGCGTTTCTGAGTCAGGTAGTAGTCGGGAGCGTCTTCCACTACGCCGAAAACGACGTGCCGATCAGCGTTTTGTTTGCTGCTGGCTTCAGCGCGGTACAAAAAGACATAGGGAACAAATGAGATGGATCTTTCGGATGCAGGCGAACGTGGTGACAGCAGTGATGATGATAACGCCAATGAAGGGGAACGTTCCTGTGGATGCTGAGTTGTACTGAATGTATACGCCGAACCGACTTCAGAGCTCTGAAGCACACAGCGCAGGAGCTGAAGAAACAATAGCGTCGTGCACCACAGGGGATTGTATGCAGGGACTTAATAGCCCAGAACAACTAGCTAGCTGTTGCCGAATGTATTGGATGCAAGTGGCAGACCTGCATCGTGCACTGTCTGGAAATGAGTGTTTTAAGAATTGAGATACACAGAATGGTCAAGGCTGGTGAACATGAGCTGAGTGGAAAGAAGTCAAATCGGGCCTCGGATTGCGGACTGATGTGTAACGTTACGTTAAGTACAGTTTCTCAAGTCTGTGGACTCGTCCTGCTTCGCCAATGGGCACCGTATTGGTGGTGCGTCTCCGGAATATTATTTCGATGCTGTGTGTTCAAGAGCTGTCTGTCTCCTGCCAAAATGTTACAAACTATTACCAAGGTGCGCCGCTCAGTCGTCGGGAGCCTCAATGCATTAGAGCAGAGTCCGAGGTCGCCAACAGTATACGATGAGAGCGTGCACACATGGCTGAAGCAAGAACGCACTGGAATTACCATTTGTCCGCCAAATTCTTCTATTTTGACATGTGTGTAGTGGTATTTGATGTGTGGATTGAGTACCAGCTTCAACAGTCCTATTATTTTGCCTTGCATCACGAGTTACTCTGGAGCTGATTTTTCGGCTCCGGCTGTTTCTAGTTATGTGGTTTTGTTGCTTTGTTACACCTCAAACGAGTCCATGTGTGTGATCAGCTCATCTTTCACACTGATATACACTTGTGGAGAAATACAGGCCAAGATAATGGGTTTTTTTCAGTGGTTTGGTTGTACTGAAGGGTGGACTGTTTAAATCATCCCGAAACAGACGTTAAAATACTGACCGGCATCTAGAAAATGGTGAATGTAAGGCACTTCCCACCATAGTATCAGCCTGAAACTTTGGGATCTGAAAAACAGATAGTTGTAGGTGACCTTCATGCAAAAAAACAGTTTTTGCCAGACTGCAGTTAACGTTCCATTTCTACCTTGTCCGCTCACATATATAAGTCTTTTTCAATGCCACATAAGGAGTGCAGAGCCTGGGTGTCAGCCTTTTATGGGTTAAGTTGTCCTTGACTTCTCCTTTCCTCTTTCCTAGTGTTCTCTCTCGATGTGTCTTTGCCCTCCCTATCTTCTAAACCTCTTCTTCTTTTCACACACTTCCATGGATGCCAGTACTGGTATGTCTATTGTGCCATATTTCTCTCGCACCCTACCCTTCTATTCTTAATAATTATTGTTCTCTCTCTCCCTACACCAACAGGGCTATGTTGGAGACCTGATTCCAAGCGTATTTGGGCAGCTGGACAATGAGGGATTCTTTGCTGATCCGGCTCTAACAGGTACGCTGCTGTGTTGGGTATTTATTTATTTATTTATTTTATTCCCGTAGCTATGCAGAAGACGTTACTTCAGTAACGTCTGACGCTAGCCAGGGTCCACACAGCTTTAATTTGGTATTTGTGTGTGTGTTTGTTTGTTTGTGTCACGCCTGGCGCTATCCCGTATCTGTCCCGTACCGTACCGTACCATCAAACACAGCTGGCCACATATACAGCTGGTCGCAATATTCAAATAGGGCTTTCAAACCCAAGATCATAACGTGAAGCAACTTGGAAGAATGGGTATGAATGCGAAGTGTATGGGGGAATGCATGAAGGGCGATAGTGCGGTTTTGAATCCCAGGATATGCCTGAAAAAATAATAGAATTGAAAAATTTATACCATCCCTATGCTTTTTTTGCCGTCATCAAGGCGGTAGACGGTGTCGTATTACCCTCGATCGTACCTGTCCCATACCTATCCCATACCGTACCGTACCATCAAAGACGGCTGGCCACAATGCATATTCAAATAGGGCTTTCAAATGCAAGATCATAACGTGAAGCAACTTGGAAGAATTAGTATGTATGCGAAGTGTATCGGGGATGCATGCAGGGCGCGCGATAGTGCGGGTTGGAATCCCAGGTTATGTCTTTAACCCTTTGAGCACGCATGACGTATTAATACGTCACGTACAGTGTCACTGCACCCACGCATGACGTATTATTACGTCGTGAGTGTACATAGCTTACAAACGCGATTTGCATGAACCGCGTGAGTTCAAACTATCGTAACTCGGTCAATTCTTGGCCGATTCTCACGATCGAAATATGTATCTGCAAGAGAAAACTCTCAGCTTGCGATAGAAACAATCGCCGAAGCGATACGACCCCGGGTTGTTGAGATATGCGACTCGACACGGCAAATTCAAATCGATTTTTTTGCGAACTCTGCAGAACGCGTATTCTCCATTTTCGATCATTTTCGCGCTATCTGCTGCCATGGAAACTAGATTCAAATGATGGCAGAGGATCTGGGGAGTCCTCAAAAAAATTTGAGCTCGATACGAGCAAGAAGAGTGAAATGGCAGCTGAGGATTTGATCTCCTGGCCGTGCTCAAGTCTGTCGAGCGCGTGCGTGAAGTTTGCCAGACTGTAGCATGGGCTTTTGGTGTCGCTCCGAGCTGAGCTTGGAACTATTTTGTTCCTCGCCTCAAGACCTTTGCAGGAAGCTCAAGATCGTGGAATTCGTCCAAAGGAAGGTAAAGTTATCGATCCTTGAACAGCTACTACTTTCATAGGAAAAACGCGATTTTTGCAGGTGTTGACGTGGGGCGGCATTCAGGTAGCGTCGTGCTCAAAAGGTTAAAAAAAGAATTTTTTTAAAGAATTTATAACATCCCTATGCTTTTATTTGTCTAGGTCATCAAGGCAAAACAGCATAGCGTAGGGCCCTGAGCTTCCAAGCTCTCTCGTTTCACTCAACTCGTGGTCCATGACCAATTGGCACGGAATGTGCGAGAAAGGGGTGATAGCCAACCACGGCACATTGGCCGCTTCAGCTGCTACTGAGTGTAATGACGATGTATGGTACTGTTCAATGAAATCCAGTCGTGTCACTCAAGTATGCGCCGTGTGTTGCACAGCCCTAGACCTGCCAACACTGAGCTCCGAAATGGTGCAAGGCGCAAGCTTGAGTGACACGACTGGATTTCATTGAGCAGAACTGCAGTGCTCACAGCCATACGTTATTCGTGTATGCCACGTATCCCTGCTATTATCATGCAGAGCCTGTTTGAGGAAGTGGATGATTAATGTGTCATAGGTTTAGCTGTGGGAATCATGGACGTAGCTCATGTGTAGTCGGCGTAGTCGGGTCACCATACCGGGAAATGGCCGTCATACGTACTACAGTAAAACCTGGTGTAAGCGACCTCTGGGTTTAGCGACCACCTGCTCTTAACGACCGTTTTCCATGCACCGGCAGTTCTGCACAGACACTGTGGGACCTGGTTCTAAAGACCACCTGGCTTTAACGACCGCTTTTGCTTGCACCATGGGGTGGTCGCTTAAACCAGGTTATACTTTAGTACTACACAGGGATAACACGTAAAATGGATGAGGTTGCCGGTGGTACATGGTCACCACACCACACCACACACTCTGGCACATAGTCACCACACCACAGATGTGCGAGCTAGGTGCCTGGGAATGGGGCTTCAATGTGCGCTTGTCAACGACAGTGTTTTACTTTTTCTTCTTGTTTTCTATGCTCGGCTGTGCTGCGCTGTGCTCTGCTGTGCTGCACTGTGTACAGAGGTGGAGGTGGTATTCATGCCTGAGCTAATGGACCACGTACAATCAATCATGGAGGAGAGGTTTGCCGTGGAAGACGTCCTGGATGGTAAGCATAAGCTGACTGCCGCTTCAACGAGCTCCCCGAATCCCTTTGCAATAATCATTAAAACACATGTGTTCATCTTGGGCACCCTATAAGAAGACTTTAGGCTCTGTTGGGAATGCCAAATAGTAACATACAATTTTATACGATGCAGTACAATACAATACCGTAGAATCCCGCGTATACGCCCATGCCCGCGCATAAGCCCAGGGTTTGTTCGAACATCACAAAGCTTCATCGTACAAGCCCTTGGGCCTAGGTCATACCGAGAGTCCATAAATTATGGACTCTTTGGCCATACCATGTATGTTTAGGACTCTTTCCCTTTCGGTGAAGACTGTATTAAATTCTAATTGTTCGAACTCTGGTGTAGTGAACTGACACTCGGAAAACAACATGCAGACATGGAACACAACTAAAAATGCAGAGAATGAAACCCGGAAAACGCAAAGGCAAACAACAACCACAACTGTCACTAATCTGGGCAAGAAGCTAACCACCATTCTCTCAAACTTGACAAACTCTCTCTCTCAAATCGCTGTCCTCAGCGAAACGTGCTCGCGTGCGTGCATTGGCTTACGTGTAGTCTACGTGTACATCAGTGTGCGTGCATGCATATCGAAGTGTACGAGTAGAAAAGAAGAATGATCATATCATGCGCGCATGATGCATCGATGAGTCATACCACCACGTAACCATGGATATAAATAATGGCGACGCGATGGCGACAGCAAAGTTCCGCGTACAAAAGCGCAGGTGCAACAAGGAAAAATCAGAGTGCAGAACAAACAGAAATTCAAATCGAAAGGAGATAAATATTGTGGAGATGAAGCAAATCAGTTTGGTCTGTCAGAGGGTGCTTGCGCCCAGAGACAGGGTGACAGCAAACCCTGTCAGAGAGAGTCAGTGTACAGAATAGGAATACATAGAACGCAGCACGCAATGGAGTTGCTGTGGAGAGCGAGAATGCAAGCAACAACGTAAGTATTATCTATGCAAGTGATTATATCGGCGTATCCGACAAACACGCACAACAAACACTGTATTGTAACAACACACTCGTAAATGATGTTATCCCAACAACACTCATTCTATTTCAGCGCAGTGTCCTGTCCAATCACACTCAAAATCACACTCGTAAATCTCGCACACTCCCTCCTTGACAATATGACAACTGACACTCATAAATCTCGCACACTGCCCTTGCAGCATGTGACAGTTCTGTACACAAATCGTAACTACAATACACTAATAGTATCAACGTGCAACATGTGACATGTGATAGTTCTGTACATCACCACCCTCCCTCACGAACAGTGATTGAGTGAGGCAATAGAGATAACATAACTTACTCAGAATCCACCTCTTGCGGAACGAGCTCATACGAACACAGCATACTCAGAATCCACGTCTTGCAGAACGAGCACAATACTAACACTAACACAGCATACTCAGAATCCACCTCTTGCAGAACGAGCACAGTACTGGTGGCTTACTCAGAATCCACCTCCAGTGGGACGAGCACATTGATTGGTCGGCGGTAGGTCTTGCCGCGGACGAGAATGTCGACCACCCGTACGTTGCCATCTTTGCCTGGGTACACTTGCAGTATTCTTGCGAGCGGCCACTTCCCTCTTGGAGTGCCAGGTTCCAAGAATAGCACTACTTCACCAACACGTACATTGCGGTGCAGATTGCGCCATCGTTGACGCAGGTTGAGCGCTGGGACGAGCTCCTTCAGCCACCTGTCCCAGACGTCCTTACTCAGTCGCTGAACTGCTTTCCAGCGATGTCTTGGATTCACGCGATCAGCTTGATCAGCCAGTTCCTCAAGTGCCAGCGACAGGTCGGCATGGCTGGTGAGGAAATGCTGTGGCGTGAGTGGGGTGAGGTCACTCGGATCTGAGCTCATCGTCGTGAGCGGCCTGGTGTTGAGGAATGCTTCCACAACTATGAACGCCGTACTCAGCTCCTCGTCTGTGCAGTCTCCGTGCTCCAGGATTCCACGCAACGCACGCTTGGCGCACTTCACCATCGACTCAAACACGCCCCCATGATGGGGCGCCTGTGGGGGGTTGAAACGCCACTCGATGTGCTCCGATGCGAGTGCAGCGCTCACTCTGCCGGAATTCAGCTGCTCGACTGCATCCCGCAACTCCTTTTCCGCAGCTACGAAATTTGTGCCGTTGTCCGACACAATCAGAGCCGGTCGACCGCGTCGCTTCACAAATCTACTCAGAGCCAGCAGGAAACCATCAGTGTCGAGGGAGTATGCCATCTCCAGGTGCACTGCTCTTGACTGGAGGCAGGTGAAGACGCACAGATAGCGCTTGGTCTTGACCCTGCCACGACCTTGCTTCGTCAGGAATGGCCCTGCGAAATCCACGCCCGCTCGGTGAAACGCACGTACAGGTTCTGCTGTTCTGAAGCTTGGCAACGGCGCCATCAACTGCTCAGCTGGCTTGGCCCACTGTAACTTGCAGCCAGGGCAGGAACGTCGGTGAGCCTTGACAGCGCCGAGACCACCAACCACCCAGAACTCGCCGTTGAGGTTTGCCAGTAAGTGGTTCTTTCCAGCCACATGCTTGCACTTCACATCCTCATGCGCAATACGTAGAGCCGTAACAGGGTGCTTGCCTGGCAGGATGATGGGTCGCCGGGCTCCACTGGGCAAATGATGAGCGGTTTTCAGGCGCCCGTTCATGCGGAGAAGCCCTGGCTTCGCGTCTCCATCCCACTCTGGCATCAGATGGCTAAGTGCATGCGCCTTGGGCAATGGTTGACCGCTGCGCTGGGCCTTGATGACGTCACTGTAAGAGTCCTGCTGAGCGTTGGCAAACCAGTGGAATTCAGCATTGCGAACTTCGCTCACTGAGAGCTCGGGCACTTCTACTGCTGACAGGGCGTGCCTTCGCTTCAAGGCCTTGCGAGTCGGACGGCTGCCATCGCGTGCGACACTGATGCTGGATGTAGCGCTGGATGACTGCTGCGCTGTAGGGTCTGCTGGCTGAGCCTGGCGGTGTCGGCAGTTGTCCGCAAAACGTTTGCACCATGCGGTGACCCGCACAAGTCGTAGCCAGCTGCTAAAGTTGACCGGGTTGAGTCGGCTAGTTTGCTGCTCGTCCTCTGCTGGTACCGTGACTAGTGTGGCCTCAATCATCCGCTTCAACTGGCCAGGTAATTCGGCTGTCGGAACAGAGTCTGGAAGCTTGGGCCAGTCATCCTCTGGTGCGCTGGAGAGGAAGGCAGGACCGTTCCACCACAACGTGTCGTTGGCCAAGTCCTCTGCTAGTAGGCCACGCGTCGCTTTGTCAGCTGGGTTATTCTTGCCGCTGATGTGGTGCCACTGCTTGACGCTGGTCACTTCCTGGATGAGTGATACTCTGTTGCCGATGTCAACCTTGTACCGCCTGCTGTGGTTGCGGATCCAGCCAAGCACATTCATTGAGTCTGTCCAGAATGTGTGCTGGCTAATAGGTATCCCGATGGCTTGCTCCAGGTGCTGGCTCACGCGGATACCGAGTACCGCACCACGTAGCTCAAGTTGAGGGATGCTCTGTCGACGGATTGGAGCTGGCTTTGCCTTGGCCATTGCCAGAGTTACTCTGACGTTGCCGGTAGTGTCCACTGCACGCACGTATGCTGACGCGGCAATAGCTCGATCAGATGCGTCAACAAAGGTGTGAACCGACAGCTGGCTCTCTGGTGCACCTGGTGCCTTGAAGCTGCGTGGAGCCTGAACTCCTGAGAGACCTGGCAGCTCACCGAACCAGGCTTGCCATTTCTTCGTCTCTGCGCTAGGGAGTCGCTCATCCCAGCCAACACCAAGTAGACACAAGTCCTGGAAAAGGATGCGTGCCCGGATAGTGAATGGCGCGATCTGGCCTCTCGGGTCGAACACAGTCGACAGCCCGCTCAGCACTGAACGCTTCGTTGGGCTCTGCTTGGTCTGCTGGTAGCGGAAGGTGAACGTGTCGGACTGTGAATGCCAGCTGACGCCGAGTGTCTTCACTGTTGGTAGGCAGCTGTGAGCATCTCGCTCACCCAAGTTTAACACCGCTTCCTTGGCACGGTCGGCCTCTGGGATGGACTCCATGACGGCTGCACTGTTCGATAACCACTTCCGCAAGTGGAACCCACCCTGCGCTAGGAGACACTGCGTTTGCTGCTGGGTGTTGCACGCAGCTTCGTCGGATGCAGCCGAGCTCAGCAGGTCGTCCACATACGTGGACTTGTCGATGGCTTCCACCGCTGCTGCAGAGTACCCGTCACCAAAGTGTTCCAGGGTCTTCTTGACCGCCTTGCCTGCCAGGTAGGGGGATGCCTTTATGCCGAACACTAGCCGGTTCCACTCAAACACACAGACTTCTCCATCCACCCTCCACAGGAAACGATGGTATTTCCTGTCACTTTCTGCGAGAACGACTTGTGGGAACATTTCAGCGATGTCCGCTACCAGAGCAACTGGCTCCATACAAAAGCGCAGCAGCACAGAGGATACGTCGTTTTGCAGCGCTGGACCGGTCAACATCTCGTCGTTAATCGAGACACCGTTGCACTCTGCCGCTGCGTCAAAGACAATTCTGACTTTCGTGGTACTTGTTGTGGTTTGCAATCAACAACCACTGATATACAATCTGTATTGTTTTACGCACGCGACCTGTCAACCGCGTGCTTCCGCCTGTGTTGTGGTTTGTTAGCTAAGTGAACAATCAATCTAGCGTACAATGAATCCCGTACGATTTGAACTGCCCTGTACATAGTTATTGCATGTAGCTTGCTGTTATGTTCCGGAGTCTTCTGGATTTATCACCTCGTGTTCTTGTAAATAAAGTCAGTTGCGATCTGAGTGATCTCGAGAGTAGACTGGAGTTTTAGGTGCGTTCTCGGAACGCAACATGGTGTCAGAAGTCTGATTTGGAACCTGTAGTACACCGACCACGATGTCGTCCGCCAAGTTTCCCCTGCCAGACTCCTTCGACTTCAGTTCTCCCCAGTCGTGG